GTTTGAAACTCATATTTGTTATTGAATTTACACATAAAAGTTGTTTTACCGATAAATATGTTCACATATAATTATTAATTAGTATAGTTTTTTAGGACATTTTACTAGATTTCTATTTATTCGTAAGATAATTTGAGATAATATATCCGAGTATACACGAGCATTATCGTCACGAAATTGCATATGGCGTCTTATTGAGCAAGTCTGGTCGGTAATTGGTCTGTATACGTCACTTGAACTTCAATTTTGGTTGGATAATTTTGGGTTGTTGACAGGAATATATAATTATATAGTTATACAGTTGTCACATCGCTCGAGTGCTTGAAAGGTCACACCTATAACACACAATCCCTATTCCAAATTTCTGCTCAAAAATTTGTTTTTAAAAAATTATATAAAATCAACCACTAGCTAAAATTTTATCAAATAGACCTATTAGTCGACACCAAAATCGACTAAGTATTTTTTTTAATTTATTTTTTTATTTCGTACTAACCAACAGCGATAACAACCGCCACTACTAACAGGTAAGTAAGCCTTTCAAACCAAAAAATGTTATTTCTTTTTGGATGTGGGTAGCCCCGTGGAACACTTTCGAGGGGTATTGAGGTACGCCCGACCACGCCCACATTTTTTCGTCGAAGACCTCGGACCCCGGGCAAATCCTGGCTCCACCCCTGTACTACTTAATCGATGATTTTCCAATCTTCATCCTATGAATAAATTATCTTACTGGAAGAGATACTGGGCCTAATAAATTAAAACTACAACTTTTACAAAATGACTGCTGAAGTTAAGATTTTTTAGGTGCACTGCTTTTCAAACAATATTGCCGGTGTAGCACGAATTTTACTGTAGTTCCAGGCGAATTTTAGTATTTAATGGTCTGGATGACCAAAGCCTATGGGACACAAATTTGCAACACTTTCTTCCGTGGTAAACAATTATTAAATATGTCTAGGCCTATGTATTTATTAACAAAATAAAGTAACTAAATTTTATAAAATCGAGCATGTACCTTATGTTTAACTTAACTTCACAGCTTAATTATCTAGCATAAACAATCAGTAAAATATTATGTAAAAGCTAATTTACGTTGAAAAAAATCACGTCACTTTTCAGCGGGAAACAGCGAGCATGATGGGAAAGTTAGATGAAACTTACTCTCCTTTGCAGCGAAAGTAATTAGGCTAACAATAATAAGGCAGGAATAGGTTGGGTGAAAAATATTTAGGCGGGAATAGATTGGTGCTCATATTACCTCTGCATAAGCAGTATAAGATGAAAACTGTATTGACATTTACTGGTAGTTCGTTGGTGGGGTTATTCAGGCTTTGGGATGGGAGACCTTGTCTCTAGCTGCGCTCAACTGTTAGACATGTTTTGTAAAGCTATTCATTGGTCTTACCTTGACTTTGCGTGTAGTATAGGCCTATGTGTAAATATACAGCTTCCTTTTTTTGTTTTGGCTGAGTAGCATGTACGACCGTTTTCACGACTTATTTTCTTTTCACTTTTTTGGACCATTATTTATTTACTTATTTATTGAAACACAAAGGTATAATTGAACGCAGGTACGGTACGAGGGTGTAGGGCCTAGCAACCTGTTCTGTTTTGTGATAAAAAAAAAAAAAAAAAAAAAAAAAAAAAGTAACGTTCTTTTAAGACATCTAAACAGCTTATCGTACCATTGAGAATATTCCTACAAGTAGGTCTGTAAAATTAAGGGGTAAACAATTATTAAATATGTCTACGTATTCATTAAATAAAATAAAGTAACTAAAGTTTATACAATCGAGCATGTACCATATGTTCAACTTAACTTCACAGCTTAATTATAGCATAAACAATCAGTAAAAAATATGTAAGTCCCTTTACCTTTCCGACTTTGCACTGAAAATGTGACGACGACGATCTATAATAATAATAATAATAATAATAATAATAATAATTTATTATTATTGTTGTTGTTATTGTTATTTGAATAATTAAGGTATGCGAAACACGCATCTGAAATAGAGGGTGGGTGGTGGAGCCTCCATGAGAGAAAATGCGCTAAAAATCACTCGAAAGTGGTCCGAGAGATGTGACAGTTAGAATTAAATAAATACAAATAAAATATATAGCAAAACACTGTTGGCGATATTGTTTTTTCAGGCATCAATGTGGAATTATTTCCTCACTATTCTTTATTATTACTTACTAGTGTAGGATATATCAATTCAAGTTGTTTGTATTGAAAGTCTGTCGTTACAAATACCACTAGTTAATTATGGCAGGCCTACAGTGTATTGTTCGTAAGTGAGAAGTTTGCTTAGTCCGACCAATCAAAATGAAGGCCATTGCTTAAGCCAAATTGGAAGCCTAATTTGCATACATCGCCCTACATAAATGTATGGCGAGACTGACTGCATTGCATTTGACTTTAGATGCTAGCGGAGGCGAAGTGGGTAGTACAGTACCGGCACTGTGTTGAAATTGGATACGATTATATTCAAATTGAATTGCTTAGAGAATTGTTGGCGACATTCAATATATTATTTTTAAACGTTTTTTAAACAACAGATCAGAGAATTAAATATACTTTCTTCTTCAGGTGCTAATGGGGAGAGCGGTATACCGTCATACCAAACAATTGGATGCCTGATGTTTACTTGTGCTATTCATTATCAAAGTCAATCAGCTTACAGTAACTATAGTATACCGCTACCCAACTTTTTCATTTTTGTTTTCCCACTCTGGCATGTATTAAATCTGATTGGCTGAAAATGGAAGAGCACTCATACGTCACGATGCAAAGCCTGACTGCGAACAGGCGGTAAAAAGGAGAATCTTCGCACTGCTGTTGTAGCAGTGAAGAGAGTTAGGTCAGCGTCGTTGTCTTTGTGGACGCGATTTGAAGCATTAACAAGACTAAAAAACATTCAAAATCGTATATTTTCTGCTGATTTTCATGGTTTTTGTTCCAAATACAAGTTCACCTCATTAATAACGACCAGTCGTTAGTTTAAAACAAAGGAAATATTTATGCACAGGGCCATAAAATGAGAGTGGAACTTAATTTATCGACAAACCCAAAATTTTCGCTTAAACGATAATTTAGGTGTGGTACCTAATTTCTCGATGGTACCTGAATATTCGTGACAGAATTCCAGAAAAAGAGAACCGAATGTTAATATATGTAATTTAAGTAAAAATATTAACTTTTCAATGTCGTGTATATTTGTATTGTATAAATTTAATGTATTATGCGCCTATAGCACACTCTTCAGTAGCCTAGGCGAGGGTCTTACAAGAGATTCTGCATAGGCCTAACTTTCACGTAAATAAGGCATATAGTCCTAGAGGGACTGCTGCTGGACGCACAATCTAGGACCATGCCCCAGCTGGACTACTGAAAAGACCTCCTGGTCCGACCTAGCCCAGGCTTAGAGTTAGAGGGAGTCTAGACCTACGAACGTCCATACTACTTAGACCAATCGTCTGAAAATGGACTCGATCGTCCCTCACCCTCCCACAGCAGCAGCACAAGAGAAAACTAAGCTAACCCTCAGCCTACTCGCCTTGCTAAATTGACATTCACACAGTGTAATGTGATGTTTTTTGGTATACGGCATAATTATACATTACGTCACCATAAACAAGGCACCCTCGACTGAACTCGTTTAATTTAGCAAGTACTCTAGCAAGAGCTGCTCGCCCTTACGAAAGGCTAAATGCGTAGAGCACCACAGGCCTAATAATTTCCGTTTTAGGCTATTCTAGATTCTCTCAATAATGTAGCTGATACTAAACCGATTTCTACAAAATTTTCGTACACTTAATACATGATAATCATTGCTGAACCAGTATATAATACAGTATTATTTAACACACATAAACCTATATAACAGAAATTTAAAATCAGTTATAATTACTGTACCGTACTGAAGATGATCCGACGAAGTTTTCGTCAAACGATAAACGTGACGGACAGGAAGCTTACGTATGAAGGGGCCTAAACACATTTTTTTTTTTTTTTAAATCAAAACTAGCAATAATAAGTTTTTAAAAATATTTTGTATTTATATGATTTTACCGAGCATATGTTTTTTTCATTATGGTACCTTTTAAAATAATTTCTTTGTTTTAAAATAAAGAACACTAGTATTTGATTAGACTAGACTAGATTAGGCTCCTCTGTATGTTAATTTTAAAAATACAATACAAAATCTAAAAGAGTGGTAATATGTGTAAAAATATTTGTATTACATATAACTTTATTGAATATGACTATAACATTAGAATTAACTTTTGGGTGCCAACATCACATACAGTACTAGAAGAAAAACACTTCAACTATTTAATCTTTTCTTTGCGGCAATGCTGCTGGAAGCTACTGAAGCGCACTAGCTGGTATTGTCTCAAGGCCTCCACAAAAGTCACTGAGGTCATAATAACAGACCCTCTCTATGCCGATGACTGTGTCCTAATGGCTCGCAATATGGTCATGGGGACTATGTATCCAGCCTTTTTAGGTTTGTTGATCAGGTCTCAAGTAACAAAAAGCATGTTGGCAACCTTGGAATGGTGGCAGATGTCCATCATCTTGAATTTTAAAATGGTCGCTATTTTGAAATTATATTCGCTCTAATAAAAACTTTTCTGAAAAAAACTTTAAATGACCGAAAAAGACACTTCTGGCCTTTGAACTAAAGTTAAGGAAATAATTTCTATATCTACGTAACTACTAAATATAGAGACTTAGTTTTGGTCTCAAATTGTTCAGAATATGTAGTCTTTGTCAACGCTTGACATAAAATGAACATCAAATTTTATTCCTAAGTGAGTGTTATCATGTACTTAATGAATGTATGCGACTCATAAAAATCAATCATGCTTTGGTATTTTTTAATTACTATTTAATATAACGGTCATGGATGTAAGGGATTTTGCAACTAATATAGTAATTCAGTACAGGGATCTCAGAAATAATATGGTTTACAGAATGAAAAGAAACATTTTAAGTATTAAAAGAGTTTATTAGCACCAATAAATGTCATACAAGTCACTTAGGGTAATTAAGAAAATATTATATCCCCCTCCCCCACTTCATCATAGGTGTGTAGATAAACAAAAGTCTATACAAATTTTAAACACAAGAAGTAATTACATTGATAATGATTTAAATAGCATCAGTTATTCTACTCAATACAGGATCATTTTACATAATACATCTTACAAATTGTCTCTTACCCCTCCCTACAAATTATGCTGCCCCCTCTCCCCACAAATTATGCTGGCCTCTCCCCACAAATTATGCCGACACGATAAGGTAAAAACAAAAATAAAACTGAGTTGAATCACCAATCAATCAAATTATTGGCAGAAATTATTTTAGAAAATTACATTAAAACATAACACCCAAACCAGGATGATTCACAGATTCACTATATTACCCCCCCCCACCCCTTTGCCAACAACTTAAGCTGACATGACAAGAAAGTAAAAGCACATGAATAAATTGAATTAAAACTGGAATAGCACCAATTATATTAATTAATGGTAAAAAATGTTTTGAAAATGTATATTTTTCTCCATCCAAACCACAACCAGGGTGATTTACAGATTCACCATGCATCCTCATTGGTATATACAGTGGCCTCATCTTCCTTGTCGCTTTCATCTGTGTCCGTGAGATCATCCACAGCACAAATTGGGTTGTAAATTCCTTATTATCCGTATTGTCATTTTGTCCCATGGCTGTTAAAAGTCCAAGTAAATCCCTTTTCTTTGCAAGTTAAACACAGTTTGTGGCATCTGGATTTTTTTCTAAAAATTAAGAACACAAATAAAATTTAAATACAATTAAAATACTTTATTTACAAATTTGAAGTCAAAAATAAGAGTACAGTAAGACTTAATGCAACAGTATTAATACTTCTTATTAAACTAGATATTTGAAGCATAGCACTGATTGCCTATACAGCCAAAACCATTCCCTTAGGCCTTAAACTCACAGGGCCTTTGTAGAGAAATCAGCATTGTAATATTATTTAAATTAGACCTAGGCCTAGCTGTCTTCAATAAACACCCACTGAGGTAAAAACAAAGGGTGTATTCCTAGGCTTAATAACATAAATTACTAGGTTACCTTCCCCAGAATATCGCTTTAGTTTAGCCTTGTTTCTCTTCAATTCAGATGCATTCTTCTTTCTTTTCTTTGGATGCTCCAGGTTTACAAAAACGTGTTCATCCTCACTACTCGTATTATTTTATTTAGTTGATTAATTATTATTAAAACAATTACAAAACGAACAGAACAGCACACAAAATCCTTAAAAAAATTAAAGGTCTAACACTAAATAGCATGTGCACTGTGTGCAGTCAATCAGCTGTTCAGTCATGTGGTACAATAATCTTGTATTTCATTTGTTAATATTTTTTAGAGGGCGCTATTTATAGACTTACGGTATTTTGAAGGAAATGCTATATGAATGTAAGGAGTTCTGCATCAAAAGTAGTTTTTGTTAGTGTAATTTGAGCTGGATGGAAGGTGTTTTGTAACTAACCAATAGGCTAGCATGGTGTGTATTGTCAAGTAGATATAATTACCACTGTTAACTCAATTTTGAAAAAAACTTGTTGATATTATTTTAATATTTTGACATACATCATGAATTGCCTCACAGCAAGATATTCTTTTCAAATCAAGCTATGAACCGCTTCGAATCTTTTGAATTACTTCAAGGTTATTTTCTTTATTCAATAAAAGGTAGTCCGTCCATGGTGCTATGCTCTAGAAAATTACTTTTGAAAATACTGCTATTGTTTGATTCTTTAAAGCTATTTTTTACACGATTTGAATGACGTTGTGTGAATATACTACATTAATACGTTTTAATTTCACATCGCTGAAAATAGTGTAGATAATTGTTCTACTGACGTCAATATTTTTTAAAGTTTCAATAACCTCGACAGTTTCTTAACATGTACTCAACCGCAATCTAAATCATTTCTGATCCGCTTCACTGCCAGACGACAAGAGTATTGTTTTTCAAATCTTTCCCACAAGTCATGAAACACTTTAGTATTATTTGAATAAATTCAAGTCTATTTCCTTTATTTAAATATACATTTTTGTTTTGGTCTCAAATTGTATAAATTATTTATAAGTTTATATTTGCTCTAATGAAGACTTCCTTCGGGAAATGACCGGAAATGATATTTTGGATCTTTGACCTAATTTTTATAAAATAATTTCTATATCTCCATAACTGCTCAACATAGAGACTTGGTGGTTTTGTTCTCAAATTGTCCAGAATGTGTAAGTTTATATTCACTCAAATAAAGACTTCATTCAGGAAGTAACAGGAAATGATATTTTTGAATATTAATTTAACTAAATATTAATTTCATTTTCTCCCTATTTTTCAAACCTGTCTGTCATGACGAAACTATTACACATATCAATAATCTAAAATCAACAGCCCTTGGTTGTGATAATATTGTTCTAATATACTCAAAATACCCCCATCACAAATTGCAATTCCACTTACTCATATCATTAATATGTCATTGTTTAGTGGTGTTGTTCCAACTGCTATAACGGTTGCTAAATTTATTCTGGTTTTCAAGAGTGGTAAGCTGCTAATTATTAGCAACTATAGACCAATATCAATCCTTCCAACTTTATCCAAATTTTTGAAAGGGTTGTCTAGGATCAAACCTTATCATTTCTCACAACAGTTAATGTCCTTTAGTAACTCTCAATTTGGTTACCGTTCCCACTACTGTACTATTCATCAACCAGTTCATAATATTATATCTGCTTTGGAAAACAAGCAATTTACAATTGCTGCTTTTATTGATTTATCAAGGGCTTTTGATAGTATTTCTTATAATATTTTATTGGATAAGCTGCGTTATTATGGTATTCGTGGCATGCCGATGATACAATCCTGTTGTTAGTCATAAAAACATCCACGAAGCAATTCGAATAATCAACAATAAAGTAAGTACAATTGCAAATTGGATTAAAACAAATGAACTTACACTAAATGTGAATAAAACTAAATATATTTTTTTCAGAACTAGAAAGAAAAGGATAACTCCAAATATTCCTAAACTATACTATATTAACATTAACAGTGAAATTGAAAGGAAAAAATCAATTAAGTTCCTTGGTATTCATATTGACGAATACTTATCTTTCAACTCGCATTTGGATGCAACATCCCTCAAAGTTTCGAGAATATTTGGTGTTCTTAACAAGCTTAAATATTGTTTACCCCTTTGCACTCTACTTTTAATCTACAAGTCCCTCCTCTTACCCTACTTAAATTATAGTATCACTGTGTGGGCTATACTACAAAACAAAATCTAAATCGTATATTTGTTCTACAAAAAAGGTACTTAAGTCTGTTTACAATGTCCATTACCTTCATCATTCTGCTCTACTATTTGTTTCTTCAAACACTCAATTTTTATGATGTGCATACAAAAAATGATGCTGTCTTTATATTTAAGTCTAATCAATTGCCTCCAATCTTTAGTTCATTTTATTTCAATCCACAATTACAATACTAGAAATAGGAGTAGCTATGTTTATGAGCGTCTAAATACTGTAACTGGCCAAAGTGATATCTCATTTCAAGGTGCTAAGGATTGGAATTAATTACCGGGTTACTTAAAAACAATTAATAATATTAATACCTATAAATACAAATTACATTCGTATCTAGTTTCTTCCACCACATGAATTACTGGTACTTATTAATGTAGGTCTATATTATATTTTATTATACTATATATTTTGATTTGTCATCTCTTTGAATTAAGATTTATTTATTGGACACATTCTTATGTTCAGGGCCCCACAATTAAAGCTTGCTTACAGTGGGGTACCTTTTTCACAATAATCTATATTCATTTAATTTTTTTGTGTTTATATATATGTGTGTGTGTGTGGGTGTGTGTGTGTGAGGGGGTGTGGGTATGTTTGTGTGTGTGTGTGTGTATATATATAATGTTTTGTTTTGTGAAATAAATATATACTTGAACTATAATACTTGAACTTGTATTCAATATTTCAATAATTCATAAACTAAGTTTTGGTTTTGGTGTTATATGAACCATTTTCAAATAATTAAAAATTATAATAATGAACCCCCATATAGTTTAATGTCTACACCTCTATTTGTACTAGAAAAATGGTCTAGATCTCAATTTGTACCAGGCATATCGTTTTTATATAAAATATCTGACACGAAATGATACAGAATTACGATTGTGAGAACATTATATTTCTAATCGCATGAAAGTTATTCTCTAACTCTGCCACGATGATCATGTCATGGCATGGTTACTGTACGAGCTTGAGTAGGTCTAAGCTAGACTTCTAGTTCACATAGGCCCACTATACTATTAGTATTAGTGGGGCTATAGTCGTGCGTAGTCGTAATTTTCTGAAGTTTCTTATTATTTCTTTTAAACTTTGTTTTTCCTGTTATAATATATAATACAGTATTTAACACACATAAACGTATATAAGAAAAATTTAAAATCAGTTATAATTACTACAGTATCTGTATCGAAAGATGATTCAGACGCAAAATTCTAGCGCATGCGTGGAAACTACATAATTTTGGACAGGGCGGCTCAGCCTTATACGAAAGGGCGAAACGCGCCTAACACTACAGGCCTAGAGAATTTCCGATTAGCTGATTCTAGCTTTTCGCAATAATGTAGCTAATACTAAACCGATTTTTACAGAATTTTTGTACACTTAAAATATGATAATCATAGCTGAAACAGAGTATAATACAGTATGAGTTAACACAAATAAACCTACTGTATATAACAGAAATGTACAATCAGTATACTTATTATCGTATCGTAGTGAATGATGATCCGACGAAATTGTCATCAACCAATAAGCGTGGCGGAAAGGATGCTTACGTATGAATAGGCCTAAACACATTTTTTTTAAATCAAAAACTTGCAGTAATAAGTTTTAAAAAATATTTTGTATCTATATGATTTTACCGAGCATATATTGTTTACACATAAACGTATATAAGAAAAATTTAAAATCAGTTATATTTACTACAGTATCTGTTTTCAAAGATAATTCAGACGCAAAACTCAAGCGCATGCGTGGAAACAACATAATTTTGGACAAGGCGGCCTAGAGAATTTCCGGTTTAGCTGATTCTAGCATTTCCCAATAATGTAGCTAATAATAAACCGATTTTTACAGAATTTTCGTACACATAACACATGATAACCACCTGAAACAGTATATAATACAGTATGGTTTAACACACATAAACCTACTGTATATAACAGAAATGTACAATCAGTTTAATCATTACCGTACCGTACTGAAAATGATCCGACAAAATTGTCGTCAACCGATAAACTTGACGGACAGGATACTTACGTATGAAGGGGCATAAACACATTAAATATAATCAAAACTAGCAGTAATAAGTAAATATTTTGTATTTATATAATTTTACCGAGCATATATTGTTTTCATTATAGTACCATTTAAAATAATTTCTATGTTTTAAAATTTAGAACACTGGTGTTTTATTAGACTAGACTATACTAGGCCCCTCTCTTTATGTTAGTTTTAACAATACAATACAACATCTAGAAGAGTGGTAATTATGTGTAAAAATATTTGTATTATATATAACTTTATTGAATATGACTATAACATTAGAATTATTTTTTGGGTGCCAACATCACATACAGTACTAGAAGAAAAACTCCTCACACACCCACGCAAACACCCACACAAACACCCACCAATAACCTACACATATACATAGGCCTACGTAAAAAAGCATACCCCCAAATAAAACAAACACACATACACTACAGTGTACCAATTATCAAATATTTTTGTTTTCCTCATTTTCTTTAACCTTAATTACTGTACCTTTGTAATAGACATTTTGTTTACACCTTCCACATTCTTTCATTCTTTTCCCACCTTTTTTTCCTTTACGAAATTTTCATTATTTCTTTTTTCCCTTTTCATTTTTTGGTTTACATTTTCAATCATAAGCAAAGTGATGTACAGCAACAATATCATAATGTTTACAATGCACACAAATTCAAGGTTCAAAATTTATGACAAAATTAAGAAAAAGAGACATTTCTCACATTATACATTGTAATTAATTAAACTTTAATAATAAGCTTATATATTTACAAAACCACAGAAAAAAATTAATCAATTAGGAATTAGGCTAACGCTTTCAGAAGAATATTTTTTACACGTGACCATTTCATATTTGCTTTATCTATGTTACATGCATATTCATTTTTAATTTAAGTTTAACCTCTAATGTAACAGAAATCCAAATAACCGTTTTATCAATTTTTA